GCCTGTGTGCTCAAAGAGGAGAAGTAAGGCCATGATGGCAGAGCATAGGGACTAGAGTTGCAGTAATAAAAGGCCATGATGGTATTCACTAATGTGCCCAATGTATCCAACAGAGCCTGGCGCACAGCAGCAGGTTCTTAATACGCATGGAATGCACAAATGGGTGAATGAAAGGATCTGGTTGAAGATAAATTTAGGGAAAGTCCTGATCATGAAGCTACAATTAGAGGTTTATTTTAAGCATAACAGAATGCTTTAAGGCAGTGGTTGTCAACCTTCCTAATGCCACGACCCTTTAATACAGTTCCTCATGTTGTGGTGACCCCCAATTTCATTGTTACAAATTGAACATAATTAAAGCATAGTGATTAATCACAAAAACAATATGTAATTATATATGTGTTTTCCGATGGTCTTAGGCGACCCCTGTGAAAGGGTCGTTCGACCCCCAAAGGGGTCTCGACCCACAGGTTGAGAACCGCTGCTTTAAGTACACTAAATAATGGTCCCCGAAGGATGTCCTAATTCTCAGATTTTGTGAATGTTTTCTTACATAGCAAAAGGGACTTTGCACATGGGATTAAGGGAAGGATCTGGAGATGGGAAGATTGTCCTGGTTATCCAGGTGGGCTCAATGTCATCACAGTGTCATAATAGGATCAGAATCAGAGAAGGAGAAGTGATGTGGATGCTGAGGTCAAAGTGACGCCAGCCTCAAGCCAAGGAACCCAGGCAGCCTTTAGAAGCCTAAAAAGACAAGGGCATCCTCCCTAAGTGCCTCCAGAGGAGCACAGTCCTAGGATCCATTGGCGACTCAGACGTCTGGAAAGCTAAGATAATAAATCCATGTTGTTTTGAGCCACTGCATTTGTGGAATGTTGTTACAGCAGCAGTGTGAAACTAATACAGTGGGGCCTTGACTTACAAGTTTAATTCGTTCCGAGACCGAGCTCGTTAAGGAGCTCGTTAACTCAAATTACTCTGTCAACTCAAAGCAAAAAATCGGCCGAGAGACAGCTGGTATCTCAAAAAACTCATTAGTGGGGACACTTGTAAATCAAGGACCCACTGTACAGAATTATTCCAACTTAAAGTCTTCAGCCATTTATAAATTTCAAACATGAAGAAGGACACATTTTTAAAAGTAAAATATCACTTGCAATCTAAATTTAAAATTCATTTTAAATTTAGTTAAAAGTTGAGCTGGATCCTCCTTCCTGTGTCTTCTATACACTCAGGATAGACTTCAATAAGAGGATAGGGGACTTGTAAGGAATGAGGGAACAAGTGGATCTAAGTTAGAATGAGAGAAACTAGGGGATGAACGTGTTGTATGGGGAAGAATGAGCCCCATGGACAAAGGGAACAGAGAGGGCAGGAGAAAGGAAAAAGGAGAGTGGGAGGTTGAGAGGGAAGGGAAGGGACATTAACTACTGTTGCTGCATAACAAATTACCCCAAGTTATAGCAGCTTAAAACAGCAAATGTTAACTCCATACAGTCTGAGTGTCAGGAGTCCAGGAGCAGCAGATTTGGCTGGTTCTTGGTCAGGCCCCTCATGAGGCTGCCATCAGCTGAAGGCTGGTCTGGGCTGGAGGATCCATCCCTCAATTTGGCTGCTGGCTGGAGGCCTCAGTTCTTCTGCACTTGGGCCCATCCATTGTGATGCTTTGGCATTCTCACAGCAGGAAACAGGCTGCCCCTCAAGCCATTTGCGACAGCTCAGAGGATGCTATGACCTAATCTATGACCTAATCTCAGAAGTCACTCAGGGTCACCTCCACCATATTATGTTGGTCAGAGTGAATCACTCATGGGGAGAAGGATTGGGCTCCACCATTTGAAAGGAATATCAGAAATGTTTGGGCATTTAAATCAACACAGAAAAAAGAGAAAGGAGTGAAGACAAGTTTGAGCAAAACACCTATTTCTCATGTGTTCACCAAGAATGTCTAAATATGTTCATTTTTGTCCACTAATCTTTCTCTGGCCAATACTAATGGTGTGTGTGTGTGTGTGTGTGTGTGTGTGTGTGTGTGTCTGTTTGTTTCCCACCTTTGACTCCTGCCAGACATGTTGCCCATTATCTCAAATGTCCCCTGAGGCTGCTGATTCTACACTCAAGCTTATTTCTGGTGCCTGCATAATCTAATCAAAATTCTAAGTATTGAGGGGCCCCTGCAGCTAGTTTGCTGAACTCCCCCCAAAAGAAAGTCTGCCACATTACATCTATTTTGCCAAGTCCTCGTCCAAACAGAGGTGGTAAAGCTGTCGGTGATCAGAGATCCACCTGTAGGACTCATAAGTTCAGGAAGTACTGTGGGCTGCAGATAGAAATGAAGCTGGAAAGTTTGGAGATATGGGTCAGGCATTCTGATAAGTTCATTGGGATGTAAAGCACAGATGGAGCCAGCCTGCAAGGTGGAATGAATGTGAACTAGGAAACATCTGTCCATGCACGATTCTGAATTAGGTTACTCTAATTAATGAATTAATGAGAAAGGAAAGGAGAGAAAAGCCCAATAAAGAATTACCTTGGATCCCATCTTCTTTTCCAACTTTTTGCCTATGAGATATTAGGCCTTCACATATTTTTTTTTCTTTTCCCCTCTTCTGACCTCTTTTCTGATGGTTAGGAAATAGTGAAAATTGCTTTATTATCATAAAATCCCTTTACAATCCTTTACATTTCGTGCATGTAAAATTATAAAAGTCTCCCTTTTTACTATTTAGTTTTTAGAGGGAGTATTTTTTTTAGCACAGCATATCAACCATAATTTAAAACATTTGTAAACCTCAATTTTCATGTATTGGTATTTTTAGATCAGGACTTTGGAATCAAAGAAACTTCTATTTTGTTTCTGTATGCTTGCATTGTATACTTAGAAGAACAGTCGCAAACTCTTTAATGTGATATTTTACAAAGGTATCCTCTAATTCTAGGGTAGATATTACTTTCATTTTAATGTGCTTGTTTAAAAATGAAAAACTAATTACTTAAAAAAAGAACATTTTTGTGAAACTGCAAATGAACAAAGATAATCATTTTGATTACCCAAAGTTTCATAAAACATTTCTCAATGGGATGAATAAAGAAACAGGTTCATATAGTATTTAAAACAAAATAAATATATATGTTAATATTTCAAATCAGTCCAAATCCAAATATATTTTTAAGCACCTTCTGTGTACCATTGAGTATTTTTTGCATACTCAATTTAGGATCTTACTAGCAATGCAAACATGCAACTCAGAAATGTAGAGAAAATATTGATGCTAACGCAGAAGTGGGCAAATCTTTCTATCAAGGTAAAAATCTTTCTATCATGGTAAATTATTTAGGCTTTGTGGGTCCTGCAGTCTCTGTACCTAAAACTCAACTCTTCCCTTATAGGAAAAAAAGCAGCCATAGACAATTTGTAAATGAACAGGCATGACTGTGTTCTAATAAAACTTCATTTACAAAGAACAGGCAGGCAGGAATTGCCCTCAAGCCAGCCCCCTGTACTGAAGGATTGATTTGTACATACAGGGCACCATTTTGTTTCCTTTTCATTTACTTTAATAAAATCCCCAGCACACGTTACTTTGAAAGATAGTTGGAAGTGTTTGTCTCTAAAGTCACATGTTTATAGAATTAATTTAAAACTGTTAGCTACGTTAGTTATTAACAATCTAACACTATTGACTTTCAGATTAGTGTTAATATGCTTTGACAGGTCAATATGCGCAATGCAAGAAACTAGCAAAGCAAATTTCAGAAGTAAATGTGGTCTGTTCGTTAAGAGTAGAAAAAAATACAATCGCATGTTTAAAATTATTGAAAACTTATTAAACAAGTAAGTTCGAAGATGTGTTTCTCAAGACAACTGTGCTGTTTTTCCCCAATATCTGCAATGATGATGTCTATTTATGTTAGTCTTGAGAGAGAATGCAATCTTTTTTATAGTAAAATGGAGTAGCACTTTCAGTTTCTTTTCCCTTGATGTATACTGTTTGAACAACAAAAAGAATAATTATTTTAAAATCATTTTCAAGTGATATTATTATATGTATATTCAGTACTTATGGCCTTTCTAAGATTAATGCCATTTTAAAGTCTCTCTTTAAAATATGTAGAAACCAGAAACATTTCATCTGTTCTAAAAATGTTTTATTTTGCTCAGCCTGCATTATAACTGTTATACTCTGTCCTTGGAAGACATGCCCTACAGCTCTCTTTGTTGCTCTATAAGAAAGAACAATCTGTAGCTCCTCTTTAAGCATTGCTTTCAGGGAAAAGCTGACAAAACTGTCACAGTGACAGGAAATTTAGATTTCTTGTTGAGCCTTTCGTCATCAGACCTGATGCTGGATTCTCATAAGGTCATGCAATGATGGTTGGTTCTCCGAGGACACTGAGTGAATCAGACAGACCACATGTGCATACAGAGGTCTTGGAGAAGACAACATGCCCTGGTAGTCCGATTCAGACAACTTTCACTGCTCTTTGGTCTTGGTTAGAATTTGGGTACTTGGGTCCATTGTATTAATAGTGAAATGGAAGCCTGATTGGTATCCTCAAGTCAATCAATTCTCTCAACCTTTTAGCCTCCCTGATGGAACAAAGTTAATCATGTCACAGTTTCTCTACCCACTTGTCAGATAGTCACAGCACTCTTTTTTTAAAAAAATATTTTTTATTGATTTCAGAGAGGGAGAGAGAGATAGACTCCTGCATGCCCCACATTGGGGATCAAGCTCGCAACCTGGTATGTGCCCTGACCAGGAATTGAACCATGACCTCTTGGTTCATAGGTCAATGCTCAACCACTGAACCACACTGGCCAGGCCACAGCACTCTTTTAATAGGTTTACATAGATGTTCTAAAATTAAAGGTGCGCTCTAGAACACACTACCTTAATCCCTCTGCTCATGCTGTTAACCTGATTAGGGAAAACCATTTTGAGATGAGAGAAAACAGTGATCATCCAAAAGCTCTGTTTGTGTCTATCTTGCAGGAGTCCTTTGGAATCTCTCGTCTTGTGATGCTCTCAAAATGCCAATCATCCAGGACACCCTGGCAGTGTTGACCAATGCCGTGATCATCCCCCACTCGGGCTGGGAAAATTCACCCCTTCAGGATGACAGAAAAATACAACTGCATTCCTCACAGGTGCTGCGAAATGCCACTGGATGCCTAAGGTGAGTCCCATGTCACTGCCGCCTCCTGCTGTCATCATACATGTTCACTGTTCCTGGAACTTTAATTGCTGTTTTACTCAAGATCAGAGTGTCTGAAAGGATGACTGCTGATATGGCAATGGAGTACGAGAAGTTAGTGAAAACATTTCTAGTGAGGTGCTGATGAGGTGTAGGCATCTCCCGCTGTCCTATACCTATACCAGTATTCAACTTATTTATCATATTTTCTGAGGTCTTGAGCAAAAAAACAAACATTTTCATTTCAACCAAAAATAGTTCATTTTCTCTGATGGAAAACAGTACTTTCCAGTAATTTCCCATGTTATAGCATATCATGCACATAGGATAACCAGGCAGGTCAGCTGGTGGTTGGGGACGAGTCCATGACCTATATACATAGGGATCTAGTTAATTGTTGCCAGTAGCTTTTTTTAAAATTTTCTTTGTGATTGCAAGAACCTATAATTCTTACAATAGCTATCTTATAAGGCCTATTGTATGAATATTTTTAATAATAAAAGTAGTAAATGTGTTGTAATTTTCTCCCAATGCATTTTTATAAAAATCATTTCCCAGAAAGCTCTTGAGGTATCTTTGAATCATCCTTATGTTTTGCTTAATTTTTGCTCTTAGAAAAGAATGTAATAATCAAGTTCTTCCAAACTCTAGAAACTGTGCTCCCAAGGATGTTGCATTGTACACCAGAGTTGGAATTCTCTGCTGGATAAGATTGATGATGGGGCAGGGCAAAACATGACTTAAAATATCTAGTCAAATAATCTATATTTCGAAAGTAAAACGTGCAGGATTGCTTTCGTTGGGCTGGCGCAAAGCTGCCATTTCTCCTACAGTTGATTGGTTTCTAGGTGCAAAAACCCGTCTCTATTGAGAAGGAACAAAATCACCTTGGTGACATTAATAATAATTACCTCATGAATATTTATAGCAGTGCTCTCGGCCTCCAGTCTTGAAGAGGGGCGTGTGTGCTTGTGTGAAATGTGCATGCATAGAGGGAGATAAAGAGAGTCTGCCTCCATAAACATCGACATGCATTCATGGGCAGGAATAGGAAATCCTCTGGCGAGTTTGCTTTTCCTCAAGGTCACAAAATAATGATCTTTGGACACGGTTTCTCTGGATAGGCTCCATCAAAAGCCAAATGTACAGCTCTCCAAACCCCCCTGTTGAGCCATCTATTTTATAACTTCTTAAAGTCTATTATCATCCTGAAACATCCTATGGCAGCATAAGAAATAAAACTCTCCCAAAGCTAAAACTGCAGGCACTTTTGACCCTTTATACCTGATTTCAGTTATTTGCAACTATTCAAGTAATCTTTTCCTTCAGAGCATTCCTGTCATTCCTAACGAAGATCACGGGAGTGCCTCAGAATCAATTGTAGAAGTACAGTCAGCAAAGACCTGGTTAGCGCCATCAATTAAAATTCTCCCTGAATAATAGAGCAACATAATTAAATATTCATGATGGTTGAGATAAGGATGTAGGCCACCGCCAATTTGAGCATACATTCAACATTATTCGATGAAAACTCAGATGGTGAGCTAGACCAATGTGGGTTCACAGATCCCTTTCGTAGCTCATCTGGCTGAGCTTAGGGTCTGGGATGTGACCTAGAGCAAAGAGGTTAGAATGGGATGCCTGTCCATTCATCTCTGTTCATGCACATAGGTGCTGCTTCTGCTACTGGCCAGGAGTGACCACATCATTGGGAGCAAAAAATGAGGACATCTGATTTAGATAAGAGTTTCCTATAACCACACTGACTTTCCTTAGTGTGGATGCAACCAGGGTTAGGGTTTTCCCACTTTGAGCCACAAAGCCAAACTCATCAGTGTATGGTGAATATTTCACTTCCCCCTGAATTTAATTTCTGCCCTTCTACAGAAAGAAATATAATTTATCTTCTCTTAGTTGAATGTGTTTATGAATCATTCCACATTGATAAGCAGGGTGGACAAAGAGAGGAAGAAAACAGCCCTGTAAGGGGCTACAATTAATTTATCAAATTAAGTCTCAGTAAATGAAAGGTTTCAATAAATTTCTATTATTTGCTACCTACTTAGAACCAATGTTGGCAACACACCAAAATCAATTAATTTATCAAATTAAGTCTCAGTAAATGAAAGGCTTCAATAAATTTCTACTATTATTTGCTACCTACTTTGAACCAATGTTGGCAACACACCAAAACAGTCGCAAATGTTTATAGCATGATGGAAGGTTCTAGATTTCAGTATGTGAGGTATTTACATTCTTCGTTTTTCAAACAAAGCCCAGAATTTATTTACATTAAAGAAATTTCTTTGTGTGCTGTGCCTGCCTTTCAACAGCCTATCTGTAAGGATTTGCTGAGTCCCTGCTGTGTGCCCAGAGAGGCAGAGATAAACATGGAAGTCCCAGCCTTTCAGAAACTCATAATCTACTGCAAGAAAATGGCACCCATACAATAAACCCTAGTGTAATATCTTAGGGTAGTTGGGAAGGAAAGGCTGGGGAGAGGGTGATGAGCTTAGCCAGTGTGGTCAAAAAGTCTTCAAGAATCAGGGGGTGTTGGGCCAAACAGAGAGAGGACTTCATCAGTCAATGCAGTGGTTGAGCACTGTGCCCAGAAAGAGTGGCAGGCGTGCTCTGACACAGACATGAGGAGATTCCAGGATCTGCAGGTGGTCTATAACCCTAGGGGACTTCAGGAAATGCAGAGTTTAGGAACATAGACCTGAGTCTATAGGAGTAGAAAGCTATGGTGAATCTTGACCAAGAGAACACAATGGTCAGCTGCGTGTGGGAGCGATTGTGCCGGACAGAGTGGGGACAGGTGGGGAGAAGTGACACGAAGAGTGGAGCAGTGAATTTACCAGGATACCCTATGCACCTGATTGTTAAGATACTTACTGTGGACAACAGTGAATATCAATATTTTGTTCCATTCAATTAAATTTAACTGTCACTGATTTGTAGCTTTGTGAACTATTTCCATAGATCCTTACATTAAATACACCTAACCTACCAAACATCATAGCTTAGCCTCGCCCGCCTTAAACATGCTCAAAACACAATAGCTTACCACTGGGCAATTCTCCTGAGTTTCATCTCAAGAGTAATTGCCTTTCTCTTCTTTCTCACCAGAAGCAAAAGACACAGATGGGCATTTTGTAGATGGGATGCAAAAATCACAAAACGTAATGTCTAAAATGTGCCAGCAATGCAGTACACTGTAGAGTATCAGCTGTTTACCCTGGTGATTGTGTGGCTGGAGCCTCGGCTCACTGCTGCAGCCCAGCATCAGGAGAGAGTTTCTGTACTTCGTACCACTTGCCTGAGAAAAGATCAAAATAAAAAAATGTGAAGTACAGTTTCTGTTGAATGCATATAGCTTTTGCACCAACTTAAAGTCCAAATACTGCAAGTTAAACCTTTATAAGTCAGGACTGTCTGTACGTTGTTTATTCTCAAATTTATTATAAGTTCAGTAGCTCCTCCAGCAACATCTTAATTCTCAATTTAGATGATCAGCCAGAGCAATGGGGGGGGGGGGTGCCTTTCTTTTTGAAGATAAGACTGTATTTTAAGGCAGATCCTAGATAATAAAGTTAACATTATCTGTCCAGTACTTTTTAAGATAAGGCTATATTTTAAGGCATATCCTAGATAATAAAGTGACATTATTTGTCCAGTACTTTTTAAGATAAGACTATATTTTAAGGCATATCCTAGGATAATAAAGTTGACATTATTTGTCCATAGCCTTCATTCTTTTATCGATGACTTAAAATGAGTTAATATTTTTGTCTTATAGTTTCTGTAACTGTAGTTTCAAGGATAGGTAAAGAAAATATGTAAATATTATAATATGTAAAAGAATATATCAAAGATATGTTTACAATAATATGTTAAAGAAAGTAAAACTTTTCCTAACATAGTGTGACTCACAAGGCCAGCAGAAAGAGCTTATGGTAGGTAATTTATCAGATCATTATCAGAAATCATTACTCTTGGTTTTGGTTCCTAGCAGGATTCAAACTTGTTAATGTACTTTTAGGGTGGGAAGCGGAGGTTCAGATTTGAAGCAATTACTATTCTAAAGAAGATCACCTTTTGAATTTTCAGAAAGAAAAAAATGTTATAAGGGCTAATTTTGCCACTTTTACATATCCAAAAGTTTATCAGAGTGAAATGTAAGTTAGAAAAAAGGCCAAAGCCTTACTTAATAGCTAAAATCTGGATGCTAACACTGTGTAATCCTCCGACAGTTTGGTACAGTCTTTTAGCCAGTTTCTCAAGCCTTCGGTTTGACGATAGATATTGTACCAACATCAATGGTGGTGCCATACCCCCCAAGCATGGAGCACATGGCATGCTCATAGGGACATTCTAAAGGGAAGAGCCTCTTGCCTTACCTTCTCTAAAAGGCCTGGTAAACTTTCAGGGGAAGATGTCCTATGTTGACATAGCAAAAATTTAAGCATATGTGAAATATAAAATGAAAAGTTAATGCCCCTAGCCCTTTTTCTTTTAAAATTTATTTTTGGGTAGGAAATGGAGTTTTTCAAAGGCAGATCTATTTGTTCCTGAACTATCTATCTGTCACTGAGGAAACAGTATAGAAATATAAAAAAATTTTTAATCTCTTCCATTTTGTTGGAGGAGCATGTTGATAAAATGATGGTGGCTATATTGTGGGATTCAGGAAGCAGTGTCAGATGGGGGCAGTGGACCTCAGAGCCCGGGGTGATTAGCAGGGGGAGGGGCTCACCTCCACAGGCCTCCTTCCACCCACACCCTCCTCCCCCCACCTCACACCTGCACTAATGCTCACCATCTCCCTCATTTCTCTCCCTTTTCTAAATTCTATCTTTTGCTCCAATTCTGCCTGACTAAAGCTTTAGCTGTTAATAAAAACCATTTTAAATCATGCCCTAATAGAAATGTGCTAGACCTGAGAAAGTTGTAGCATGTGGTAAGCATGAAGTTGTCCTGAT